AACCCGTTTTTTTAGACGCATCAGTGACTGCCGCAGCCGAACTGCTTGAGGGAATCTTCAATTTTCCTTAAATTAAACAGTTCTTCTGTTGACAAAACTCTGCTTAATAGTACAACGCATTTTCTGAAATACTATTATTAATTTAGGTAATAATTGTTCATATCTGTTCATACACAAACCTAATTCGACAGCATACTTTGCTCAAAGCAATTTCTCTGCTGGATTAAAAAGCTGTTTAGCAGCTTTTTGTATATCAGGAAAACTCCATTCTGATAGTACTTTTATATAGGTTTTCTTAGGATGTTTTGTAAGTGACTTGGTGAACGTCATTCACTAGCTATACCCAAATAAAAATATACTGCTATTTATACACAAATTTAAAAACACAAATCATTTAAATGGTAACAAATTATGCAGCGAGAAACACAAGATACCGGAACAAGGAAGGAGATTTACAGATAGAATAGTTTGTAGGCAGCGCTGCCTCAGGCTCTATTTAATGTTAAAAATTAAACATTAAACAGAAGGTCGCCTTGTCTCGACAGGTAACCGGCAATGATACTCCTTTGCAGTATTCTTCGGCCGATGTTGTTTGCCTACAAATTCAAACCGTGAGCCAATGATCATCACCCATTCCCGGCGGGAGGCAGTCTTATGTGCCTGTGTAAAGTTGGTGGAACCGGTTTTGCGGCTTTCGCTCAGCCAATGCCGGCTGCCGTGGGCTGGGTTTGTTCGAGTTTAAAATGCCAGATAAAAAAAAGTCATGATCTCAGAGAACTGGTAACGCGCGACACTGTGCTGAGCGTAGGGTTCAGAGTTAGCATGGCATTGTCTCAGTGCCTCGACGATTTTCCCATCCCGGGCCCGACCCGGTGCAGGAATAACCTGAGTCCCCAGGAATTGTACAGCGAAGCGCACAGACTGGCTTTGGAAGAGCTGATCTCTGGGGGCAAAGAGTCCTATGTGGAATTTTTAAAGAAAGAGAAGATACCCAATTTCCTTTCCAGCGATGAAATCAGACTGATTATGGACTCGGCTGTGCACCCTAAAAACGTCTCTCTGAGCGGAGAGGATGCGGGCATGGAGCAGTCCGTGAGCAGCTCGATGGACTGCTCCTCTGTCACCTACTTTCCCGAGGTCTCGGACGTAGAGCCGCCGCTCTTGGAAATAGGCTGGCCGGCCTTCACCGCCGGCTCATTCCGGGGAGTCACTCGGGCTGTAGCTCACTTTCAGCCCAGCTATGGTGAATGCATCTATAGTTGCAAGGAGGCTGCTAGGCGAATGATAAGAAGCGCAAAAGAGGTAACAATTTAACACCCACATTGGCTTTAGTGGTACTGTTACTAATCTCAGTCGTGGTCGCTATGACACTGTTAGCGTTAGTTCCGGTTTCTATCTGCAGTAAAACGTTTACCAAAGGAGCGTGGAAGATTTTAAAGGAGTGAGAAGTCAAGACGGCGTCTTCTGTGATCGCGGCCGGTTATGTGGTCGGTCGAAAATGCTATTTTGAGTTTATGGGCCAGGGCAAGGCGCAACAGTAAATGTGAATTAAAAGTTTCGCACGAATGTGACCTCATGCACAACAGACGTGCAGTCTAAAGTATACAGATACGCGACACCCCCACAAATAATACTGTAACCGGTTTTGAACTTCGCTTACAATTTACAAATATTGCATTGTAAAATGTCATTTTTGCCCTTGCTGTATACTATCCGGATCGATATAACAGCGGAGGTCAAGGAGGATAACCCACACCCTAGCACTCACCTAGAAATGTACGTTAAATATTCTGTTACAGCTCACAAAATACCTGTAGTCACTGGAGGAACAAATCTCGTTAAGACGCATGAGCAGTGGAAAATTTAAATCCTTTCTCACTTGATGAGCCGCAGCAATTTTATCTGTGCGTTGTTTGAAGTGATAATACTCCATTATCGTCGCGATATATTTTTCATAAATCACGCAGGTGATGTGCTTAAGAGTTGGCCTGTACTTTAGTGCCGGGTTACAAGCATCTCGATTATGGTGATGGGAGAAGAGGCCTTAACAGCATGGGTCAATAAAGCGCATTTAAAGTCATTGATTTTAAGAACAGACAGCGGGACATTGAAATTTGTACTGATGACACCCAGCGTTCCCTGTAGAATAATCCCGCGGAATCAGGCACAACAATGATTGTCAACACGTTCTGATTATTTTGATTTGACCTTTTTTGCTTTTGATTGTATTTTTAAGGAATATGGTATTACCAGTGGAGCTGTTGTCCAGAAACCTAGACAGTGTGCTTTTTACCATTCATATAACCATGGAACATGATTATACGATTTTAACAATCCTATATACCAGTCAATACATGATCTTTCAGATGTCTCCATAGGTAAAAACCACACGTGTTCTGCTTAGATGACATGACTATTTGGGAGCCAACTTGAAAAAAAACCCAGTTTCTACACTTCTGTGCTGAAGTATTGGTAAATTGCTAGCAACAAACTCTTGAGAAGCTTTATTTGTACTGATACACCAGCATTCCTATTTTGTTTTTTTTCCACCTTTTATTCATTCTATTCGATTCTCGTTGTTAAAATTTGTGGAAAAATTATTCCTAAACCGTTTCAGTGCTATTAAGTCGTGTGTACAAAACAATCATGCAGTAGGTGAGTGACATATTTAAAGGACTTTCATTGCTCACACTCTTTGTATAACGTTTTAAGATGTAAATGCAAGGGTTTATAAAAAGTGGGACTAAAAAAATGACAGGAAGGGAGTATAGACATGTTTGAACATATTTGTGCCATGCCTCATGTTCACTGCCATATGAATCACAATTGCTTATCAGACAGAATGTGTTCCCATCACTCTGGACACCTGGATTGTCAATTACCAGCCCAGGGCACTGTAACATGAAAAGCCCACAGTGTCTTAGGCAGTTATAGTCAAGGCCGTCGTTCATACATGGATGATTTGTATTTCACTATTATTTTAGGACAAGTCAGAAATTGCAGCACTTTCACATTTGGAATTTGTAGGAGTTGTCTTTTGCTGTCTATTGTCGATTATGCATTCTTTTCCCTCTTTTCTCTGGAATGTACAGTAAGTGAACAAATTTCCAGAAGGGTATAAAATATTGACACTAGTAGACTGGAAATTCCTGTAGAAGTTATTTGCTAAGAGTAAAATGTTCCAACATGCTGAACACTCCCCAGAAATGATAGCGATTTTTTTTTTCCCACTTGCAAATATGTTTAGTCTACACATACTATGGACAGGACACTACTTGCAGGTGCTTTACTAGTAAATTAAAAATGTCACAACTAGAAGACTAGAGGGAAGTCTGCCTTTCAATGTGATTTGTCTGTGCCGAGATTCACATCTAAACATTTTCAGAATATAAAAGAAGACAGAGGGAAGTTTCAGGTTTGTGTAAAATATTTTAAGTATTGGTATTTGGTATTTTATATTTGACTAAATTGTACTCCAGCTCTGTAAGCAAGTTGAGGCATGGAGGCTATATTGATGCACAGAAGGAATGAAACAATTGGTTCTAATCGATTTAATCAACATATTTAGACAAATGTCAAATGAAATTTTAGAGCATGTCCATGCAAATACAATCCAAAGAATCCAAATGCATTTTCACTTCTGGAATGAAATAATGAAACATTTCAAAAAATGTATCCGGTATGACCTCCTGAGATTTATCCCAGTCCTGGGAGCGCTCATACACTAACCTGGCCAGGTGGCTGTAGGGTGTTCTGCCATCTGCCCTGTTCAGCTGTTGCCAGGTGGTGAACTTCCTGGTGGCAGTTACCTTGAACAACACAACAGCTAGAGCGACATGTTACTGTAAGTCCAGACAAATGTTGTCCACCGTCAGGTCTGTGAATGTCAACAAGACGTTTATTGCTGCATAAGCCACTCCACCACTCTCTCTGCCCCCTCTCGGATATTCTCTGAGCCCCAGACACTTAGCTGTCAACATGTTAACCCTGAATGACCTCTGAGCATTCAGATCGTTTTCATGAAGACGGTGAGCTATGCTCATTATGCTGATGTGTGGGTTTTTTCTTCATATAACCTCTGATCCTGGACACCCAATGTAAATAATATGATGTATGTGCTCTGTCAGCTATTGATGTAGACTTGGACTATTATATTTTCACTCTTAATCAATGTTTTCATTTTAAACTGATTTCCCCCAATGGACACATTCATAATGTTTTCTTCAGGTCTCTTTACAGTGGCAAGGATCATAACCTCATTTCACAGTGGCTCATCTCTAGATGTAGCTTAATGTAAGATGAGCAAGACAAATCCTGCTTAGTGTATTATGACCAGCCCATTTTACAGTTTTTACAGTGTCGGGCATCTCGATTTGCAAAGCCTAAAACCATACTCTTTTCCTTGGCATTTCAGGTCATTGCCTTAGTAACAGACTCTTTCACGGATGTGGACATATTCAGAGACATCCAGGAGGCCTGCATCAAGCGTCAGGTTCCCGTCTACATCCTGTTGGATCAGTCCTGTGTGTTTTCCTTCCTGCAGATGTGCAAGAACTTGGACGTCCAGCTGGAGGATCTCCAAGTACGAGCTCTTGTTTTACCTCTGTGTAACACTGAAAGTCAAGGCTGTGATGGGCACTGGTGTTGCTGTCTGCACTCAAGAGAACTACAAGTGGAAATGTGTGAATTTGTGCTGGTGTCCTATCCAGGCTGTAACCCTGCCTTGCCCTCTGTCTCTACCTGCTTAGGTTCCAGCTCACTGTGAACCTGAGCTAGCTTACAGCATAAGCATGATAAGATCACTTTATTGGCCATACACAGTTGCTTGTATTAGGAATTTATCTTTTTGCATACCCCAACTTGCTCTCCATGAGACACACAGTGGGAGAGGGAGAGAAGCTTGGGGTCAGAGCGCAGGGTCAACCATTTATACGGCACCCCTGGAGCAGTTGGGGTTAAGGGCCTTGGTCAGGGGCCCAACGGAGTAGGATTCCTCTGCCGGCTGCAGGATATGAACCGGCAACCTTCCAGCCACAGGCGCAGATCCTTAGCCACAGAGCCACTGCACTGCCCCATGAGAGGATGCTCCCAATGCTTGTGAAGATTTTCAGTGGCTGTCCATCCACCTCCTGGAGACGTGCTGTCTTGGGATGACGGACAACTCCAAATTGTTTCTTTTTCTGTGGCCTGGCATCCCAATTCCCATTTGGAAAAGCACTTATGTGCTTTCATTTACTCTGTGCATCCTGTGGTTCTGGGATATGTTCCAGAGTGTCAGGTAGAGTGACTTACTGATAGTGAATAGATTAATGATCAAGGACAAGTTTAGCATTCAAATCATTGTATTTCATTTTTGCATCAACTTTGGCTTTTGACAAGGCATTAATGATTAAGTTAAAAATATGTTCTGGAAAGTTGACTGGCCAGTTGGGAGATTTTTATGAAGTGTGAGTCATAACTTTTATAACACAATATTGTCCAAGGAAATGTTACCCTTTGTAAATGAAAGAACAAGTTATCTATGTTTAAGGGATTTTTTAATTTTCATTATATATTACAGCATATGAGGGTACGAACCATCACTGGAGCTACGTTCTATATGCGGTCTGGTGCAAAGATTGTTGGAAAAGTTCATGAGAGGTTCATGTTGATTGATGGAAACAGGGTGGCAACAGGTTCATACAGGTAATTATAAGTTTATTTTCTTCTTGTCTGTGCTTTAGTAGAGTGGCTCTGTTGGGAAATGTTTAATTGTTTCAGTTGAATAGATTCACATTACTGCAGTGGGATCTTGCTTTGTCATGGGGGAGAATAGGGATTGTTCAGAGATAACTAACATTGTTTTTTTTCTTGTTTGTATTACTTGCTTTTCTTAGGTTTGATTGGACGGATGGGAAGCTTAACAGCAGCAACTTGATCGAACTGTCAGGCCAGATCTCCGAGAGCTTTGACGAAGAGTTCCGGGTCCTCTACGCCGAGTCTAAACCCATCAGTCCCAAGCTTGCCCCCAGTCGCAGGAGCAGTGGGATCTATGACCACGTCCTTCTCAAGGTACCTCCTGCTCAGGAGCCTCCTAGGACCAGCCAGTTTTCCAGCACACCAAGCAAAGCTCCAGTAGTGTCTGTGCTGCCTGGAGATGATGAAGATGATGCTGGAGAGCTGTCCCCCCAAGGCAGCAGAGTGTCAGAAATGTCCACCATTGGAGATGACTGGATGGAGGAAAACCACATGGAGGATGTTATTGCTGCTGCGAATGCTCTGACAGGTGTAGATGTTGCTGTGCCTTCTTCTGCCAAGGTGGCAGCAGCTGGAGAACCTTGTGTCCCTGTGACCTGCCATGCCTCCACACAAACCTTCATTCCTGTGGTGGAAAGCAGCATGCAGACTGATCTAGCCAATCAGGAAGAAGCACCTACTTTCTCAGCTTGTGCCACCCAAACGGATAGCAAGGGCTCATTTTCCTCTGGATCTGGTTCCCAGCCTTCCGCTCCTCCCAGGGAGCAACCCAAGGGCTACAGACGGTCCCCTGTCAAACACTCGCCTCCGTCCCCTGACGGCTCTCTGCGAGACTGCTTCAACAAACTGACCAAGGAGCGGCAGTACCACTACTCCACTATCCGCTCCAAGCTGGACCACATGGTAGCTCTCTTGTCCCAGCGGAGGGAGCTGGTGGACCTCACCAACCTGGCCTTGAACCCTGGCGCCTACAAGCTCAGGAAGACACAGGAGCAGTGCGGCCGCCACCAGCTGGTACTGAGGGAGACGGTCCGCTTGGGTCCCTTATCACGATCGAGGTGCTTCAAATAAATGGAAAAGACTGACTGTACTTGAGCAACAACACTACTGACAGATTTGTGGAAGGGTATGAGAGCTATCAAAGAGTATGTGTTCATACTAAATTACAAATATTGGGACACAGATGTAAAGGACTCATCTTTTCTCACTTGGGAGTAATGTTGTATCTGAGTTATGTTGAATTGCAGACATTAAACCTAAAAAACAGACCACCCCCCACTGCATTGTGTTCAGTCAATTTAGGAGTGTGTCATCTACAATGTTTACAAGTGCTGTACTTGCCTTGTAACACTGAAAACTAAGAATGTTTTGCAACTGCCAAAAAATTTGCTCCAACACTTACAGAGTGTCTACTTTTCCTTTTAACTCTAATTACAAGATAAGAAAACCACTTGCAGTGGTAGTGTTTCAGGTTGGACTTTTTTAGTATTCTTCAATACTACTCACAATGGTTGTATATGGTTATAAGAGTTTATAACTATCGCGTGTCATGGGCTGTATGTATTTGGTGGTGAGAACCTAAAAATAATTGTCTGTGTGTTGAATCTGCAGGTCTTATGACGGTTTCAGTCACATCTTCTCGCCTGTTTCCTCCAGGAATATCAATGATAATTGTACTGTTTAAGGAATAACAATAGGCCAAATGGGTAATGAGTAATTGGGCTCAAAATGAATTGACAAAGATGATGAAACAAAGCCCATAACTGAACTGTAAAAGGATTTTAAATCGGGGCTGAGACAAATACCCAAGTGTATACAGCTTCTATTTTTATATAAAAAACCCAATATATTCACAGTGTCAGACAGCACAATTGTAGTGAACAATACACTATACAACACTGCTTTCATTTGTTATATTAGGTGCTTGAAATTAATGTTCACTACTTTTAACTTTACTTCCCTCTTTGTTTTCGGATATATGTATGTGTAGTAGGTATTTTTTACGTGTAATGGAATTATAGTCTGCAGGGACATGGATTTTTGGTGTGATCTCATTAAATAAATGTAATTGTGTTTCTTCTGAATATGCAGTTGTCCTATTTGTCTGAATGTTTTAATATTCCATCTCACCTAAAAACATTAATGATTTAATTTTGGAATAAAAATGATTAGAACAGCAACAAACAGACTGCAACCTACATGGCCACCAAGTCCATATTCAGAAATAACAGTTCCTTGAATTTCTTTATTATATTTAATCCCAGAAGATCCTTAAGGCCTTCATATATAGGAAGGGACTTGCATCATTGAAGTACAGAACTCAACTGGGTGAGACACGGCAGTCATTCTGTTCCCGTAGTCCTGCTCCACAGCAGATCTGCAGTTTTACAAATTAATTATGGTGGAAATAGAGTATATTCTACCAGTTTTTGTGTGGGTTTCCTCTGGGTGCTCCAGTTTACTCTCACAGTCCAAAAACATGCTGGTAGGTTAATTGGCTTTTGGGAAAATTGGCCCTGGTGTGAGTGTGTGCAGGCCTGTGTGTCTACCCTGCGATGGACTGGTGTTTGATCCAGGGTGTACCCTGCCTTGCTCCCATTGCTTGCTGGGATAGGCCTCAGCTAACCCGTGACCCTGAAAAGAACAAAGTGGTTAGAAAATAGATGGATGGATTGGTTAAGGTGGAATCTTTAATTGGGTGAAATGTGCAAGTCCAAATTGAAAGTTGGGTTAAACGCCTCTACTCACTAACAGTGCCAAGAAATCTTTTAATGTCTTGACCTCACTTTAACTTCTCATTTGAAGGATAACACCTCCTACAGCACAGTGTCCTCTGTTGCTGTACTGGGGAATTGGTTTGGACAGTGGTCCAGAGAAGAGCACCACCTATTAACACCAATTAAAGCAGCAACATGGTTTTCCTTAGGGGTATGCCATTCCAGGAAAGACCAGGTGCAGACTGTGCTTCTGGGATCCAGGGAGTCAGTGACATTCTCTCTGATTTCTTGGGGAATTTGTATTTGTATTTGTCCTGAATATACATTGTTTGTGAATTACAAATTCTTGTAATCTATTTTTTTCCACTCCTTGGCAAGTTTTGTATGCGAGTTAAAAACAGCACTACGTACAAGGTTGTCGCGGGTAGTAAATAACACATCCGAGAAGCAACACTGGAAAGTCCACCGTCTCACACCTGCGGACCGCGGCAATATTGGAAACATTTTTTTTTATTTTCACATAACAGAAGTGAACATATATCTGAATTCTTTGATAAACTGTCATTATCCGTGTGTTTTTATTTACAGGGGTCTTATGCGCAAACATGAAGCGATGAGCTCACAGTATGTTTGTGTTTCCGGCCAGTCCTCGGTGTAGAATACAGCGTGAGGACACACCTGCCCTCTGAAGACACAGGTGTGGGTGCCTGTGTTAGATCCTCAGGTGAAGTCGAGTCTTCTGCAGTCTGCAATGTAATGACCCAGACATGTTTGCTTGTCCTGCTCCGTGGTTGCTCACCCGCCCATCAAACAGCACAAACGACGAAACTCACCGCAATCGCTAATGCTGCGTTTTTGCCGGTTTGTGTTGCTGTAAGTAGCGTTTGTGCTGCTTTCGTTTCCCAGATATAGCGCCTTGTTTTATGGGTTATCACGTAACTATCTACAAGGAAGTTTATAGGTACCAACAAACTCGGTACCGGAACTCCTGATTGTGATGAAAACAATGGGGGCAATTTGTTTTCCGAGTCTGTCTGATCGTACATAACAGCAAAGTCACGCCACCAGATCTTTCAGTTGTGATCTTTTGATCAGTCGACCCCAGACTTTGCAGCCTTTACACAAATAAAACAGTCTTGCATTTAGGGAAGAGTTACTATGTTAGTTCATTGGGTTAGGTGTTTTCTTTTAATTTTTTAACCATGTTCTCGAATTACCACTGGTACAACACGAGAGCCCATATTCACATTTTTAGGTATTAGTTTCAAGATCGATATCATTTAACAATACAAAAATAAATTGAAAGCACGAGCACAATAATATAATGATCACAGACTTTACAATTCTATTTATTTTTGAAGTACGATCAGAAGGTGTTTCCCCTGCCTTAAATATCTGATTAAAATTGTTCAAATGCCATGGATTTATTACAGAAAGCAGTTATATTGCAAATAAAAATGTATTTAAAAATGTATTTATTTCGAAGAGTACGGGATATTGTGAATCAATAAAGACGTTAAAAAATAAGCCGATGTAGTTATTTTGCAAAGCATTTAAAAAATAGATTCTCATTAACAGTAAACAAGCCACCTGGCGCTGCTAGCTTGAACAGCTCTCAGACCCGTGATTGGCTAAACCCCCGAACAGTCCGGGCAGCGATTGGGTGAAGAGTGAGAATCGACACTCTGATTGGGTAAAGCGCCACAGCGGAAGTTCTGTGTGTACCGTGTGTGCTGTATGAGCACGCTGGATATACAGTAACACATCCATTGGTTTCCAATTACTGATCGATCTAAGAGAAGTCGCACTGAGGTAATAGCAGACAAAGAATGTCATGGCATCCACAGCGCGTTCACGACTCCCAATAGCATGTCACGATAGGACTGCGCGCATCACGATCACATCGCGATACCCATTGCGACTGGAGCATCACTGCCACCACATTGAGTCCATATATCGCAATATGACATGCCCAGCCAAAACGCCCACACCCCATGTCCCGACATGGAGTCCATATATCACAATATGACAAAACTGTCACACCCATGTCGTGACATGAAGCCC